GGGGGGGGGGGGGGGGGGGGGGGGGGGGGGGGGGGGGGGGGGGGGGGGGGGGGGGAGCCCGGCAACCATGCGAGATACACGGTGTACGAGAGAGATATTCGTACGGGGGGGGGTCAGGTGCAAGTAGCTCCACCGCTTTTCTTGCGCAAGGGTTTGTTGTTTCGCCAGGAGGGCAGTCAATCACGCATCATCGTGATGGAGACACGAAAACCAAAAATCCGTTCGGTTCTCCCTAGCGTCATTGCTGCTCAGTGTGGTGTTGTTCTCTCTCCGTCATCTGCCCCCGTCTCTGTCTCTACCTTTCTCCCCCCACGTCTCTCTCGATCGTTCTTGCTCTCACCAACGGTCGACCTGAGCGTTGTCTGCTTGCGGTGTATCGTGCTAATCATGCCGTCGTCCATGGTGCCTCGACCCACGAGGTATCGTATCAGCACGGTCTTGGCCTTCTGCCCGATCCTGCCACCAACGCAGACGTTCGTTGGAGGTCGTTATACGCAGGCATGCGTCGAGTAACAACGCGCAACACACACACACTTGCGCCGGCCACCGCAACTTCTCAGCCTCCACATGAAGACAATGGCTCTCTCGTCGGTGACATCGCCACGAATGGTACGACAAGCCCATCGCTAGAACAGTCCCTCCTCCCCCATCCTCTCATTGTTGGCGACGACGCTTTGAAGCGTCAACTGAGCTGCGGTCTGTCCATCAATCGATCGTCCTAAAGTAAGACCCGCAATTGTTGGCACGACAATCACCATCGACGACGACGATGACGACGACGACAACAGCTACCTCTTAAAAAGATAAAAATCCTTCCTCTCTCACCCACTCTTTCCGCTCAAGGACACACCTGAAATAAACGTGTCCTGCATAACATACGGCTGCAAATGTCACGTGACTTCTACAACTGCCACAACATAATACCACAAGGCACAACTCAACAAGGGCCGACGTAAGGCACAACACAACCCGCACAGTATACGAGCACCCGCATGACAAAGGCTAAACGAGCACACGTATGGCGAAGACTAAGAGCACATGCATAACAAAGTATACGCATGGCAAAGACTAAAAAAAAGCACACGCATGACAAAGACAACAAAGAGAAAAACACAAAAACAGAAACGACCACCAGCGGACAGCCAGCCAAATCAGAGCACGAAAAAAAAAAAAGCTTGCGAAAACATCAATCGCGAAGACAAAGCTTTTCCATACCGGTGGATCCGGTCCTCCGCCTGAGCCATGGACCCGGGCGTCCAGTAGAGCTCGGCGAACACCGCGCACGACGCCGCGGTAAGGGTGATGCCCACGCCGGCCGCCGTGATGGAGAGGAGGATCACCGACACCGAGGAGCTGCCTTGGAAGCGGTCGACGATTGGCTGGCGCTTCTTCTGCTTCGCGATTTTTGTTGTGTCGTCGTCGTCGTTGTCGTTGTGAGCGTGTTGACCGGCGTTCGGCGCCGAGCATGCATGGCGTGCGTGCGCGCGTCGCGTGTTGATCGGCGTCGCCCGTGTGTTGTGGCGGGGCGGGGTAGGGGAGGGGGTTTGAGGAAGCCAGCGAGAGAGGGTGCGCGCGGGCCATTCGCGTTACATTGTAGGGAGGACAAGAGCAGAAGCGACGCCAGCAACACCAAACACCGGCGACCACAACAGCGCCAATGCCACCTCCAACCCCAACAACAACAGCAGCAGCAGCAGCAGCAGCAGCAGCAGCAGCAGCAGCAGCAGCAGCAGCAGCAGCAGCAGCAAAGGTAGCGTACAATGAGGGAGGGGACCTCCCACTCTGATCGACGTTACGTTTCAACAAACGCCCAACCGCCGTGGCGAGGGCGAGAGCGGGTCGGGTGGCGACCACGTCAACCAGCACAGCAGTACACCAGTACAGCATAGCGATGCCAACCTGACCTGAGCGGTGCTGCCGTCGATCCGCACGGAACAGACCCCTATCTCGTCGAGACCCCTCTCGAGGGCATCCATCACTTCCTGCGAAACACACGGTTCGCGAATGAGAGTTGTTTATCACAACGGCACGGGAAACGGCGGTGGACAAACACGAGGGTGAGTGGTGCACGTGGGGCGGCGGCAGCAGCCTTCGTAGGGCGTTTCCTTTAGTAAGCATGTTGGATAAACCATACATCGAGGAAGTTGGGTGAGAGAATACCGTATATGACACAAGATAACACACCTCCTGGACCGACTTCCAAAGCTCGATTACTCCACGACGAAGAGAATGAAATAACAAAACGATACATTTTCGAAAAGCTCTCGGCGAGACGATTTCAACGCCACCGTTTTCGGCGCTGTGACTGTTCCTGCTGTTGGGAAATCGAGCTTCGAAAATTGGCCAAGGGGGTGTGTTATCTTTTGTCATATACGGTAGGGTCTGCGTCCCCCCTCCCTGTTCTATTTCCTCATTGACTTCATAATCGCGCGAAGGCGGTGCGGCGGCGGTGGGCGGGACACTCACCGAGGAGGGAGAGGTGTAGACGGTACAGAGGGACGCGTGCCTGAAAAAAAAAAAAAAACTACAAGATGACCTAAACAACACAAGGAACAATTCCGTCCTGGTAGATACCAGTAGAAGCTCCCGGAAACGACTTCCTTGCACACGGAAATACGGAACACCTGTAAACAAACGTGCGGGGCCGATTATTGAGAGTTCGATTGCTCCGCAACCAAGAGCCTGTCAAATGCCGAAAATCATGGACAAGGAGTTCTCCGTGCACGAGTCGGTCGGGTTTCGCACCCGACCGTTCCCGCACGCCTCGATGTCATTGAATCGGCACCCGAACCGAGGAATGTATCCAAATGAACGTCGGTGTGTGTGTGGGGGGGGGGGGGGGGGGG